TGGATAAGAGCACAGGAATGTATCTTTTCTTTAGCAGATATTTGCTCACTGCTACTAATATTCGCGCCTCCCCTTAGACTAGTTCACGCCTCACAGTTTGGAAAACGCTGGATTAACCTATGTAGACTTAGCTCATATTTCAAACGTGCAATATTCTTAACACAATTTTTATTTGTAATTGAAATAGATGGAAGAACAAGATTTTCCTTATCAATAATTTTCATGACGGAAATATTGACTGTGACTGTGTTGATGAAAAGCATTTGTAAATGATATTCGCATTAATATGCGCAAGTATTTTATATAAAGTGATGAGGAATTTCGTTGGGTTAAAAACAAGCAGAGCACGTGTGGTATTTATGTGTTGCGGTCTCGTTGGGATGCTGCAGAAATACGTTCATATTGGGACCGTCCGCATTTGTAAATAAGTAAGCCGTAAGAAAGATCGCTTTTAATAAATATTTCATGAGACGCTCGACTCGGAATTAATAAAGCCGAAAAGGATAAAAAAAGAGGTATAAGTATGAGAAAGGACTCACGTGAAATGGTCGTAACAGTGACCGTTGAATCCGCACCTCCACGCAGTGCACGACTCGTTCCTCACGTACTCCAATTCGGTGATCTCGTACGTGATATTAAACCCGTAAACATCGAGAAGATGATCCAGAACTCTCAGATGAGTTCCTTCTGTATTAACCAAATCCAAGGTGATTTCCAACTGCTCGCTGTTAGAAAGCACATGGTAATTGGTATCGATGTTCTCCTCTTTGGCCTTGTAGATCACTTTCTTCACGTAGTTGGAGTAATTTTCGGTGAAGGTGAGCCCTTCGGTGACGTAGACCTGGGTCAGGTAGACGGCGATCCAGCTCTCGGGGAAGTTCTGGTTGTCGATCGTCCACTTGCAGTGGATCGGCGTGTCGAAGAGATTGGGGAAGTTCGGGGTGCTGATGACGCCTCTGGGGGAGGTCAGGAATCCGCCGCACTTCGTCCCGAAACTCGTCTCAGGGAGGAACAAAAACATCAGCAGCAAGTACATCGCTCGCACTCAGTTTGGCTGTAATACAAAAGTCTTAATTAGTATTGAATATGATGAAGGAGATTTATACAAATATTAAACCCTTGGTGAATGGCCCTTTGATGCCGCCCACTCTCTCTCTCGAGGCGCGATACAATTTATGTGAATAACAAACTGCGCTACAAAGAGGCCGTTTTGAAGCTCTTGAAGAAACTCAAACAAGATCTTTGGGCTCTCCTCAGCATACACTTCTTTCTCTCTCTCACCCTTCTTGTTTGCTTTCGCAAGTATACGACGAATAAAGCGGATTTGCGTCGCCCTAATGATGCGATCTTAATATCATAAGAAATTACGCGCTTTTGAATACTCCAAACAAACTGCAACAGACTTACTATGCACTTACATCATAATTAATACACTTGACGAGCCACATAATAATATTAAATTGATGAGAAAGTTTACACGTCGCATGCCTTGTTAGTTATCTAATAATTCCATAACAGCATTTACACAAGAGAAGCTGAAACCACTTGAAACATAACTGAAAAAACTATTGCAAAAAACATTGATTTATTAAATATTATTACATTTATTGAAAGATTGAACACTTTTAGTGTAATATACTTTGAAATTCTAATAGATTCGATATAACAGGAAGCAGCAGAGTATATAAAATGGGATAGGTTATATCTATAATCCCAGGTGACTTGACGAAAAAAGAAGGAAAGTTTGCTTCAGAATAGGGAATTTGATTCGGAGCCGGGGCTAATGTTTCCACTGGGAAAACGCTTTAAAATATCGTTGTTTATTTTAATATAGGTGTGTGCAATCTCCATTAACATCAGCATCTATTATGCGAACGCATAACAGAATTTCCAATTGAATAATTAATTTTGTAGCAGCAGCAGCATATCTAATTGAGTGTAAACGTATACCACGAAAGGGGATGCAACTAAATATGTGAGGAATGCGCAGCCTAATGATCATTTCAGGAAATCAACTGTTGTTATTACGTGTTTCGGATACACTACTTAATCCGTACATTTTTATACGATAATTTATGGTCGAAACATGTACACACACTTGGAATATATATATTATGTTGGAGAGAATATGTAGGATCATATCGCTTTTGTGAAATTGGGCAGTCCTAATCTGCTTCCCTTTGCAAGAGAGAAAGCCCCTTTGTGCCCTCAAATTCGCTTCATTTTTTATCAAAAAAAAAAGGATTCGACGCGCTGCGCTGTTTCCTATCCGAACTACATCTAAATTACTTTTTGAACTTTCAACCTAATTAACCGGACACAATGCATAGGCCAACTTAATAATTACGTAATTAAATTTAAATTTGAATTTGAAAAACCAATTGTTCTAATAATTGGAATTATCTGAATGAATTTGTTTTATGTATTTCATTTGGTAGTTAATTTCTAGTTACGTAATTAATTTAATTAAGTAAATTTTCGTTACATTCTTGAACTTTCAACCTAATTAACCGAACACAATGCATAGGCCAACTTAATAATTACGTAATTAAATTTAAATACATTTGACAAACCAATTGTTTCTAATAATTGGAATTATCTGAATGAATTTGCTTTATGTATTTCATTTGGTTGTTAATTTCTAGTTACGTAATTAATTTAATTAAGTAAATTTTCGTTACATTCTTGAACTTTCAACCTAATTAACCGAACACAATGCATAGGCCAACTTAATAATTACGTAATTGAATTTAAATACATTTGAAAAACCAATTGTTTCTAATAATTGGAATTATCTGAATGAATTTGTTTTATGTATTTCATTTGGTTGTTAATTTCTAGTTACGTAATTAATTTAATTAAGTAAATTTTCGTTACATTCATTTAAAAAATGTAAATTATGCAAACAAACTTGCATGGAGAAATGAATTAGTGAATGAATACATTAATGTACAACAAAATTGATAAAAAAAAACTAAATCCGAGGAATGCGGCAATGAAAAGCAGACGATTCTCGGAACTATAATCAATGAATGAGTTGAGTGAAACGTAGTAAAAATACGTCTGCTCTGTAATACAAATAATGTATTCCAGATAACACTGAGTTTTTTTTAATAGTCTTGCGTAACGCGATTGAATAAGTAAGTGATGTAACACTAAGTGTGTAAGTGCAGTTTAAATGCGTGTGTAAATCGATATGGATTGAGTATTTCAACAAGTAAATATACTTGACACGTTACTTGATAAGTAATAAGTTTTTTGCATTAATTCTCATAGTGAAAACGGTTTCGGATTTCACAACCTTTAGGTACAAAAAACTGTATATTTATGTCCTTATTTCTACATCCCCCAAGTGACATGTTCGCAAAGAACCTTTATATCTGCATTATACGTGCGTGGCGTTTGAAGGGCTATTATGTAAATGAAGTGATATTATGCGCATACTCTTTATATAAAAGGCAACGAACGCAGACACTCTACCTCTTCCTGATCCCGTCTACACGAAAATGCGAATACTCTTCTCCATAATTCACACCCCATTAATATTATAAATGGTATTAGGAGTATAATCATTTTCATCCCTTCTGCATCTTGCCCAGCTATTAACTATTGATGGCATTCCTCGAACTGAGCCTCGTATTTCCTAAATGTTGGTTTAGGACGCATTAACTTGCGCCAACGATATTTGTTTGTTATATATATATTGAGAGAGAGATGGGCAATTATAATTAATCCCCGATTAAACAAAACTATCGTGCGCCAAAATTGAGATAAATCCCACACACTTCCCTGATCTCTCTCCAAACCTCGCTGGAATCCTTTCTAGTCCTGTGTTACTATTATTCGACGATTTGCACCCCCGATATTAATGTTACCTATGGCTATGGATTAACGTTCTGCGTTCGGAGCGAATACTTTGAATGAAAGCCGTTGATGTTCTGTGACAGGAAAACCGGAAATCCGGAAAACGCCGCGGATTGATCTCGCCCTGTCAACGGGATCCCAACGTCACGTATATTAAACGCAGGAAAATAAATATCTCTACTCTGGTCTTCTCACTCACTACGTTGAGTCGAGCATACGATTCTGTCTCTAAATCACTGTCAAACAATGGTGGTTTTCATTTCGAACAGTTCACATATTTGTTTCTTCCTCAATTATGTAACATCAAAACCATTTATAGTTAAGCATACTCCAAACTTAATTTGTAATACATAAAATGTCTGAATTATATAACAAAAATTACTAATCACAGCTTGTTAAAAAAATATTTAAAAAAAATTAAGAAAATTTCTGAAAGTAACAAAATTCAAATTATTTAAAATATAATTAATCTTTTTATCATATTTCTATAAACAATTTACTTTATAAGTTCATTATTAATATTTTATTTTTATGATTATTATGAACGTAGCAAAATTTTTGAAACAAAGTTTAAAGAAACATTATCATGTAATTAGTTTAAATATATAATTTCAAAGGGTTTTCAAATAATAATCAGAGCATCATGAATGCAACAAATTCTGTGAAAACAGAGTGTTTGGATACAGAATTAAAGCTTGCGGTGTAAATCTGGTCATCAATAATGGGGCAGTATTACTGCATTCGCATGCAACGCGATGTTTACCTTTTATTATTATTGCAACATTCCGGCGGGATCGTAATTACGTAAATCCGAGAGCGATTGCGAGCATTTTAGGATAATCCCGGTGTAAAATGATCGTAATGCAGCCAGCGCACACATCTACAAACACGTACGCGTTACATAAGTTTATTAATGCTGGGGGCGCATGTTAAATGCATTTAAAATCGAATTCAGTATTAATTAAGGTCCTCCCTTTGGGCGTGATAATGAACGAAATTGAATCATAAAGCTCAAATCGTCCCTAAAATCAATCATCTATGCACGAACACCATGTAAATTTTACATATATAGATTAATTAAAAAAAAATGTGTATTAACTGTTTGATAGAAAATTGAATATAGGATAAATATTGAATTAAGGTTTCGATATCTTTTAAAGTAAAATAAAAGTTTACATTTTTTAAATTAATTGGTAGAAAAAGCAATTACACAATAAATACTAATTCATTTCACAGTAAAATTATGTTATATATCAATTAAAGATGTACAAGTAAATTTCGTTTTTATTTAATATTAAAAACAACGCGAAAACGTTGAAAACTCTTACCATATGTGCAAAATGTTTTGTCACTTTTCATTGAAATAAAATTAAACAAGTATTGAATTTAATTTTATAATCTTCAAATATATTCATTATTTTTACAAAAATTTCCTAAAATTTATCAAATATGTTTATATAAGTAATTGCATCAATCAATCAAATCAATAAAAACATTTATTTTTTGAGACTACTTCTGCAAGTACTTCTATCAGTTACTTGGCAAATATTGTTTAGTATATAATTATTTCAATTTAAACATGGAATGAAATACATTATTTACATGTGAATATAAAAATGTGTTTAACGTTTTAGATACGCAGTTGCAGTTGATTCTTCGTGACGATTCGCGACATTTCGCATTTCCGAACGATTGTTTAAACAATGCAGGTGTTCAAAATGTACTCTTTTCGTACCCAAATATGGATTTGTTTATACGTACGCACCTGCAGCTGTGATTCATCGAGACGCAGGTGTGTGCGAAGTTTTATCGTCAAATTTCTATGTATATAAATTAGACAGAATACAAAAATTATTCAATTTTACATTTAACCAAAGTATATTTGTTTAATTATGTACAATTTCCAATAAAAACACTTTATTTGTTTATAAATGAAAACAATGAAGTGGAAAAGGCAATATAATTTTTGTAATTGCTAAAAATCGCAATTTTTGTAAATAAATTAGACAGAAAACAAAATTTTCAACAGCGTTTTGCAAATGTTTTATGAAATTTCAAATTTATTAAATATGAAAAATAGCATAAAACGTTCAAAACTTTTGTCTAATTTGCAAATGTTTTGTCAGTTTTCATTGAAATAATTAAAATATTTACTATTTTATTATAAATCTA